TCTAACTTTGGTTAGTTGTATATGTACAGATCGCTGACAATTTTTTTACAAATAAATATGAGACATACTGTATATATATACAATATATAGTGCAAATATTTTTGTTCACTACTGTAACTATAGATAATTTATTGAATTAATTTTTTTTATTTTTTTAAAATTATATATTACTAAATATTAAATAAATAAAATAATAAATTGAATATTTAATATAAATAAAATTTTATTATATTTATTTTATTAAAATAATTTTTGATACTAAGTTTATTAATGTTTTAATTTAATTTTGTTATAATATTTTTTAAAATATTTATATATATTAGTTTTACTACAAATATATGTAGCCTTGCAATAGTTATAAGTAGCTTTTTTAGTATTTTTAAAATTTATATCTTTTGTAAAATAGTTTTACACTTTGCTTCAGTTTGTTATTATAGAAGATAGTGCTATTTATAATAAATTATTTCTAATAATATTATTGATATTGCTATTTTTATAGCTAGTTAGGTTGCTAGTTTTATCATTAATATATTGAAAATTATAATTATCTGAAGAAATTTCATGTTCTATTTTAAAAAAAATTAGTAAAAAAATTATTAGAAATAAGTTAAACAGCAACTGTTAAAATAAAAAAAAATATTTATATAATAAGTTTCTTGAATATAAAAGAAATATGAAAATAGCAAAAGTAAAATCATTCAAAAGTTTTTTATTTATAATGTTATATTATAAAAAAAATAATGAAATAGTATTAAATTATAAAAATTTTTAATTTTTTTGTTTATTATATTTTAATTTAATTTAATTTTTTTGTTTTTATTTAAATATAAAACATAAAAAATTTAAAATCAGTTTTGATTCAAACTGAAACTCAATTAATTAAATTCAATTGAATTAAAAAATTTTAAAATTGAACTAATTTGAATTTTATCAGATTAAAAATTTAAAAATTGACTAATTTAAATCAAAACCAATTTACAAATCAATTAATTTTTGTTTAAAACTTTAATCTCTAGCTACAGATAGTAAAAAGCTAGACAAAAATTATTAAACTAAATGTGTCATGCATTTAATAAAAACTATATAAGATTAAATTAGAATCCAAGCAAGGATGTTAATTTTACAGACAATAAAAATAATAATGCTATACTATATTAGTGATACATCTTAAGAATTGGTAATAACAGATAATTAAAATGTTTATAATTAATCTTTATAATAATATTTTATATGATTTTCTCCTGGTAGGTATTAAAAAAATATGATTGGATCAATAAAATAGATAGATTTAAACCAGTAATAATACTTTCTTTTTTTTGTATAAATTCTATCTGATACAGATTCATTTATTTGATGCAAGTTGATCAATTAGAGTAATTAAGTTAATATTTGAAAAAATCAATACTACTGGAAATAATAAATACTAAGTAATGTTAATTTATATTTTAGGATAACAATAATCTAGTTTGTAAAAATGTTTGATATAATAATAGAATATACTGTATATAGTAAATAGCAATAAAGTCATACATCTAATGTATTTAGTTAATTTTTATTTTTTAAAAAAAAGTTAAAAATAACAATAAAATATTTTTGATTTATTTACAAAGAAATTATAAAATTATAATAATAAGTAACTTTAATTTAGTTCTTGATCCAAAAACAAATTATAAAATAATAAATAATATAAAAAAATTTATCAAGTTTAATTATCTTAAAATTTAATTACTTATTTATATAGACAATAAAACCTTTCTGATATATAATAATTATAAAAATCAATAAAATTATATATACCTGAAAAAATAAAACAAATTTCAACAGAATTGATTACATTTGGAAATTCTATAGCATAATAAACGATATACAGTATATTAATTAGTAATAAGACTTTTATTTAAAAAAATATGTACAAAAAGTCAATCAAAAATTACAAAAAATAATATTTTGCTTCAAATCCAAACAATAAACTCAAATCAAACTTATAATAACAAATGCAAGCAATTAATCCAAGACTTATGAAAGTTATTTGACAAAATCCTAATAATCTCAGCCTTTAACTATTTATTATGTATTTGATATTTTAAAACCAAAACTATACAAGGAATTATTGAATAAGTTTTTATGTACTGTATCACTAATGATATGATTATTTGAATTAATGATGATTATAAATAAATAAATAAATATTAGAATTTTTGATTAAAAAGTTATAGTAGATTATAGAAAATTTTTATTTAAATAAATAATAGCAATTAAAAAAATAAATAAAAACAAATTATATAATTAAGTAAAATCAGGTTTTATACTCGTCTGTACAACCTGAATTGTGATTAAATTTTAAGTAAGTGAATACATTTCGCGTATATTGCAACCGAGACATTTTAAAAAGTATCGTGATAAGTCTAACTGTACCACTGCTTTCTTGATATTTATAGTATAATCGACTTTGAAAACGTGTAGACTTTTGCAAAGCGCGAGCGATTTGAATTTCGATGATGGAACACGGTCAGTATATGAGAGAACCAGAAATATTAGGAACTTATTATGCCAAGCCTTTTGAAGTTGGACAGATAGTGAAAAAAAATGGAAACAGGACTTCAAATGTATGTACTATTTTATTTGGCTATTCAGTATGTATGCAAAGGAAAAATCGCAGTGATTCGACGGGCCCTTTGCGGATCGCGGTTTGCAATGGAATGGCCGCGGTTCGCCGTTGTGGCTTATGGATTGTGGTTTTTCTGCGATTGAACCTGTAATATTACTTTGTTATGAAAAAGGAATCTGTGTTGAAAAGGATGGGTGGACACTAGTGGTACATATACAATCAACCCTCCCTAAATGCAACCCGTTGGGATCGTAAAAAATGTACATTTGGAGAGGGCTTGCATTTACGGACGGCAAATATATTGTGATCTTATAGTTTAGGATTGAATCCAAACTTGCATTTATATCAATGGGATTGATGTTAAGGAACTACTGTATGCGCATTTTACTTTTTTTTTTTTGAATGTTCTCAAAACGTTACGGAATCAAAATCGGGCAATCTCGATTGCGGTGGGGATACCTTTATTAGAACTATCATGAAGTCAATAGGTCTGCATCTTTAAGAGACTTCGTTCGCTGTATAAGAGAAGCAATTTCTAGACTATGCATCTTGTACCTCAAAATTCAATGGAAGGAGAAACGATGATCATGATGTTAACAAAAAGGCGGGTCTATTCAATTTACCTATAATTTTTAAAACCAAACAATTGTTGTACAAGTGCAATTGAAACATAATAAATGCTTCTATAGAACGAAGATTTTTCAGATCTATCAGGTCTGAGTCTGAAAATGAATTGACTTTATCAATTGATGATGGGAGTAAAATACAATATCTTTGTCATTCAATCAGACAACCGATAATATTGACGTGGTCACTAATTATAAAAGCTTTGAGATGACGGGGAAATAAAAATTTATTGGCAAACATCGCGGAAGAACTACAAAAAAACAGACAGTTGAGGTGTGTCACATTTTATCCATATTACAAATATGTACGTTTTGTTTTTGTTTTCTAGTGGGATCGATGTTTAACAAGACGAAGAAAAATATGAAAAAACTTTTTAAGTCTTATAAAATATTCTAAGACTAACCAATAAGTCACGAGAAAATATATTTTCTTTTTCATTACATCATAAGTCACAATGCTTTGTTTGCCATGCCATAAATTATATTTACAAAACGAGGGGGAAAGCAAATTTTGGAAACTAATCCTCATATCATTCAAGATCCTACTTCAATCAGAAATTTCCGCTTCTCTTTATGAAGCATCTTTAAAAAACTTTCCTAACAAACAAACGTGTATTAATTAATAGTAAAAGATAAATATTGAGTTGGGCTGTTACATGTTTGTTTATTTCTATATTTTAATGTCACATTAAGCTTACATATTTTATAGTATATTCAGGTAACTGGAATGTAAGGAAAACATTAGAACATCCAATAATATATAAATTTATAAGGGTATGAATAGTAATAGAAAAAGTTTTTATTTAAAAAACCATTTTTATAATGAAAATAATACTGTGCATTCTAAATTAGCATTTATTTAATAAAACGCGAGTGTGCAAAAACAAAGTAATGTTCTAAACGAAGCTCTAAAGCTCGAATCTAGAACTCCTCTTTTAGCTAAATAAAATCATTTGACATTTCACATATTCAAATATTTATTTATTTGTTTGTTTGTTTTAGTAGTATATACAATATATTTTTATATTTTCATGGTGTAAAAATAACATGCTGTAAAGATTAATAAGCAAATAAGTTGCTGTATTTAACCCCATGTTGTTTTACAACTTCAATTATTTCCAACAATTATGGATTATTAATTAGTATGGATAGTAGTAATTGATACTTTTTTATTTATTCTTATGTCATTAACTAATTGCATCCTAATTATTATATTTATTTCTTTATAATCATAACATGTACCGTATATGGATGCCCGATATCTTATTCGTATTTTGATATATTTCTTTATGCCAATTATGTATGATGCGCGATAAAAATGGTTTTTAATCAGATTTCATGCAAAGTATTTGTTGAAAATCAATCAAGTTATCACAGATGAAAAATTTGGATCCATTAACATTGGTTTATCTATTTGAAGTATATTACGTAAAAATTTTTTTATTAAAAAGAAACTATTTATGATTACATTAAAAACAGAGTTTCGGAAAATAATTCTTCAACTAGTAAAACGGTTCCAGTGCCCGTCACTAAACCAGATATGCGTGAACAGAGCTCTCATTTCTCATTCTATTGTCTATTCTTCTTGTATAGAGATTGCGATTCTTCGACGGGTGTCTCAGTTCCTTCGGGGTCCGATTGGGCACGTTTTCTAGATTTGCTGCTTGATGGTTCACCACTCTGAACACTATAAGGTTTGAATTGCTCCAGTGCATGAAGGTATTCGGGTGTTGGCTGAGAAGCAATGTATATCGGATTTGGTTGGGAGGAATGCGGGAACGGTATTTCGGTGGATGAAGAAGTCGTGTTCAAGCGGAGAAGTTGTTGTGGTGTCAATCTTTTCATTGGGAGCAAAAAATAAATAACCGATGGCATAAAATAATTTCGAAAAAAAACGCTTTCTCTTAAAGGGAATAACATACTTGAATTCCAAGGCCTTCAAATTCTCGTCCAAGATTCCCTCGTTCCTAGCTGCCACTACCAATGAAGTAATACCTGGTTGTTGAAGAGTCCAATTGATTGCAACCTATGTTATGGCAGAGACGATTAGAACAGGAATATCCATCACACTCATTCGATCAATTGTCTTACCTCAGCAGGACTTCTTCCAACTTCCTCTGATATATCTTTCACTTCCTCCAGTATTCCCCAGTTTTTCTTGTTCGCATACTTGAGAACAGTGTTTTTTGCAGGGAAGTCTTGATCTGATTTTAAATATTCTTCTGTATATCTTCCTGTCAAAAACCTGAAAGTGATTTTTTTGAAACAAGGAATTTAATATATGATGATACGATCCGAGATTACAGAAATTATTAATACTACTAAATTTACCCAGAAGAAATTACGTTATATGGAATGACCCCTATCTAAAGCAAATAAGAGAATGCATGGTTAGAAAGAACTCACTCTTCTCGTGAATGAATTCCAACCAACAATTCTTTATGAATATATAGTAAAGTCGAAGCGATCGCTTACCCCGTTCTTCATACACATTGGTCTCAGATCGAATTCAAAGGAACGATCGGTAAGACTATATTGTGAGGACAATGCTACAAATTGGCTATAATGTAAAAAGGTAAATCAATTGAGACATTGACAGTATAATAATGATGATTGTGGAGATGATATCGAATTTAGTTACCTCCAACCACGAAGACGTGATATGGCATTTGCTTCACTGATGATCCAGGCTGGAGTATCAGTTATTGCTATATAAAGCGCCTAAGTATAATAAGAAAATCAGTTCAAAGACATTACTATGAAAGATCTCAGTGAATTTTTCGCAAGAGATAAAATGGTACATTACTTTTCCGCTTCTGACCGTATCATCCAATCCCCTAAGCACATTCTCTACGTTTGTACCATAGTCCGATATTTGAGTGTATAGCACATCGACGTATCCGATACCCATACGCTTCAGACTGGCGTCCAGATTTTCCACCAGACTTTTTCTATTCAAAACGCCTTCGAGAGTAAATAGATTTTAGTCTTTATTTTTGTGTGGCAAGATTAAAACAAATTCACCAACCAGAATTTGGATCACTTGATTTTTGAGCGCTTGGAGGTGCTGTCATCAAGTTTAAGTGGTTAGAATGTTAATTACAGCAATTATAATATATCGACTCACAAATATGTAGAAAGAGTGAAATTTCTCTTACTCATATACTTCGAACTGATTACTACTTTTGATCGTTTCGAAGTGAGATATTGACCCAAAATTCGTTCGCTCTTTGAAGAGATGATGAAATAAGAGATTTTTTTAGAATAATTAAGAATAGAAAACCATAATAGAACGTGCTAATCGTTAGACTTACATCTCCATTCCCAAAGTTTGCGGTATCTGTTATTGCATAAAATTACATTTGATATATTTGATTAATATTTCCCAAAGCGTAGTTGCTTTGTTGAATATATATAGACAGGGTACTTTCAATAATTGGATTTTCACCAATGCACCAACTTACCAAAGAAGTTTCCGCCCAACTCATAATATTTATCGAATACTATTTTAGATGTCTTTATTTGGTCATCAGCTTTATCCTGAACGAAATATTGTCAAATTACAACGGTATAATATGTATTTAAAAAAAAAGAAGATAATATAGGTATCAAAAACTTACTTGTTGCCCGAATGTCTAAGTAATAGACGCATACGTATACAATAAAATTTACCGATTAGATAATTATAGTCTAACGATCGACATCGGATTTTTTCACATAAATACGTAATAAAAAATAAATAAATTGATACCATAGTTCCGAGACACAGTGGAGAAACCTCTAGTCCACTACTACCCAATTGGACATAATTGTCAAGCTTGGTGAGAATTTCTCCTGATGATGAAGTGTCAGTAGTCATCTTTTTATCAGAGGGAAAATAATTTTCGAAATTTTTTGCGTAGAATGGATTTACATTTGATGGATATTTATATTTAAAAAAACGTATGTCCTGTAATCCTCGATGTTTTGTATTTTCAGAGACTCCTGCACATATGTACTGTACATGTAAGCATTCTCGAAGCTGCTTATGACTACATACAGTATTTTGTTTACTGTGATACGTACAACGAATCAGGTTTCCGACCAACTTTGTCTTAAAATGTAACCTTCGAGAAACAAAGCTTACAACTCCGAATATACACTATATTCTGCTTAGTCGAATTCTTAGCTTAACTGTAATAAAAATTTGTATTACTACAAAAGGAGCTTTATTAACAAAGTATTTACCGTAATAATACCGATACAGTATTAATAAAAATATTAATATAATTTATTTTTAGTGACAAATTTACTATTTCGGATTTGCTGTATTTCTTAAGCGGAGGAACGCGGACATTAGTTCTACACTTGCGCTCCGAACTAATCACAACTTATTAGATAACTCAAGGAGTTACAACGGCTACAGAAAAGTCAATGAGAATTCCTCGTGAATGTCTTTGAATTTTAAATGAAGAAATGAAAAAATGAAAAAATGAGTGAACACTTCAATTTGAATATTATTACCCTCTGATTATAATTTGAAAGGCTACATTTTTTTCATTATGTAATTACTAGATTTTTTTTTATAATTAATTGCAAATTACGAGTACTTCTTGGAAAGACAATATGTCATCTTGTGAAAAGGTATATTATGTTGATTTTGCGAAAAAATCATCTATAGAGAACGTTAAGTAAGTTAGAAAGTTTAAAGGGTAGAGTTTCTAAAATAGACTTTTCAAATATTTATACCCATGTGTGATTAAACATAAAATTAAAAGATTTTTTATTATTACCGACGATAGGCTTAATGCATTATAACAAACGTTCGTGTGTGTTAAATTATTTCGTTATCACCTTAACGTGCTTTGCCCGTATGCACATATCAATCTATTTTTTTTTAACATAAAGTTTTATTTATTAATTAAAAAACGATTTGCTAACCAAACGTACTGTAGCCGACTAAATGGCGAGCTGTCGCTAACTCCGAACAAATTTTCGAAAAAAAAAACAACGAAACCACAAGTATCTTATTAAAGTTTAATCGATGCTTATAAACTCGACATCGCAAAAACACGTGCTTTCACCATTCTGTACCAATAATATAAAGAAAAAAAATAAATCATAACAAATAAGAAAAACTATTTCATTATGCGCGTATAAAATGGTTTCTCGCGGCTTCACACATAACAGTAAATCATATCATATTTCAAATTATTATGATTGTTAGTTTTCGCCTGTCGGTTCTGAGTGCGAGAAGTGATTAAAAAAAGTTAGAGTTAAGCAGGTGTAGGTTTAGATAAAGTAGCGAGCGAGTGAATTGAGTATTATACTTACCGACGGTGATGGGGGAAAATCCCCTACGGTTCACTGTATGGTAAGTCTTGCTATGATATCTTGCACCCGGAGATAACTCCTCTACCGGCAACTCTACCAATCGTTTCTCATCTGCTGCCAGAAACTCTTGGGAAATCCCCGTGCGTGTCGCGAACATTAACTTCTGCAACCATACTCCGATCGTAGCATAAATCGTTTGGGCACTTGGTCGATCACTAGGATTAGGTGCCCAGCATTTTTTCATTAATATCTCATAAGAATTTGGAATGTGTGGAATTGCTTGAGGCCTAAGGCCGTTAATGATGTCAGCCATTAATGATTCATCATGATTACGATTGGAAAATGCTCGTACACCAGCTGCTAGTTCCCACATCAATATTCCAAAACTGTAAATGTCCGATGCTTTACTATAGTTCGCGAATTCGAGCACCTCTGGCGCACAATAGGGTATTACTCCAAAAAAACTTTTGGATTCCGGTGAATATTTCTGAGCTAATCCGAAATCACCGATTACGAACCTACATTCATCCCTTCCTTCGTCCAATTTTATAAATCGTTGACACAAAATGTTTCCTCGATGCAGGTCTCGATGTACAAGATCAACCCGGTGAGTTTGTAAGATTCCAGTGATCATATCAAAGAGGACTTCGAGTTTTTTGAAGTAGGTAAGTTTGGAAAAGTATTTCTTTATGTAATGACCCAAGTCCCCATCGTTAGCTAGTAGTATGACCATCATGTATTTTTCAGGTTCTTCGGGATTTTTTGTTATTCCGAATGTACGAAGCGTGTTAATACGGCCCAAAACGTTATCATTTACGGTCAGAAGAGATTGCAACTATGAAAATTAATAATGATTAGGCATCTTTGAAAGGATAAATTTATTCGGATATCGTTAAACTACTGACCTCTTTAAAAATCAAATCACTCGACTCGTTGTCCTTTAGTTCAATACTTTTCAATGCTACTCCGACATTTGGATATCTTCCCCATTCATTAGTTTCTCTCATCCACTTTGATCTTGGTCCATCAATCCACGTTGCAGAATAAATTGTTCCAACACTTCCTTGACCCAAATATTTAACATCACTAAGACTTTCATAAGGTATCCACTCCAAGAAATTGAATTTGCTAGTGGCCTTGCGTTGAGTGGTCTGAATAAAGCTATCAATCTTAGAGTTGCCACTGGTCCAGTCGGAAAAATGATCAATAAAGTATTGGGGATCACAGGAGGAGCACCATTCGTTATCAAATTTGTTAGAATGACAGCGCTGACAGGTTAGTTGATCTTTGTTAGTGTCTTGAGCATTGGACTTTGAGGTCGATGCTGAATTAATATTGTAAGAGACATCCGTTCCCTTTATGGTTTCACGAATCTCTCCCAATATTTCTTTTATAGTGCCGATTTCAGTTTGTTGATTTCTCAGGAACGTTTCAATGTCATTTACTCTGCTAGTCAAATCTTCATTGTATTCATAATGTTCATAATGCGGTCGGAAGCAAAAGATTTTTCTTAGACCTTTGAAAAATGAAGTTTTGTTCCTGCTCTTCTCGTTGTTTTTAGTCATGTTGGCAGATATCCGTATGTTCGGGCTCTTAACTTCGTCTATTTAATACTTTTTTTCTATGTACAAAAGTCAATTAAACTCAATTCTTTTGTCTGAATTTTAGGATAACGGACATAGTGTTACAAGAACCAAACACCTGTTATCAGCTATTATATTCGATGTAATTTTCCTGGTACAAAAGTTTCACAAGCTACATAAAAGGTTTCATTATATTGCTATGGTTTCACATGATATTTGTTTTTTTATGAATATCGGAGTTATTCTACATGCAGTACCTTTTTTACACATTGAGTTCTTAATCCGGAGCTTTTGTTCTCTTCCCCTGCAATTTTCAAATACGGAAACACGAAACTTAAAGTATTCCGGATTTTTCAAAAAGAAAAAAAGTCGATGGGTCCTTTTGTTCATTTGCGGATAAAATACAATCATAATTATTTATAACATTCAGAAAATCAATTATCAAAACGCCAATAACATAAATTATTTTAACATAAAAATAACAATATTTAGTCAAGCAATAACCATGATTCCAGGAAAATGCAATGAAAGTGGACTTCCCAAATGTAATTCTTAAATTACTCGATGGAACTAGTTATGAGGTTAAGTGTAATAGAGAATAAGTAGAAAATACATTATACATGCCTAAAATTATTTATTTTCACTCAATTATTTCTTTAATAAAATATATATCACATAATATAACTTATTATGAAAACAATCAAAGTTAAATTTAGTGAAAGATTATCATATAACAAGAGATTTGATAAAAATGCAACAATGGGATTGGATTAAAGTGGTATAGTTACTTCAAGTTCTGAAATACAATTTATCATTTTCAAAATCATTCAATACAATCAAACAACACCAAAAATTTAAATTCCTATATTTATTTCAATAAAAATCACTAATAATAAAAAATTTTGAGACAAATATATTTCATTTCAATTTGTATAGCTTTTTATATTGTTAGCATGTAAAAAGGTGATAGAAAATAATAAGGAAAAAGGCATAGTAAGTATATCAAGTATATCAAGTATAATAGGTATATCAGGTATAAAGTGTATATCAGGTATAAAATGTATAGT